CACACACACACAAACACAACACACACAGATCTACCACTTACATTCAGCCGCAAATACGGAGCAGAAAGTGACAGCGATGACAAATCCGGCACACAGCCAGTCGAGCCTCACGGCCAGCCAGCGACTAGTGGCCAGGAACAGGAACCAGGCCTCGGAGTGTTTGTCCTGGTAGTTGTCGAACTCCTGCATGAACTTCTCTTCCATCTTCATGGAGCGCACGGTGTGTAGACCTTGTAGCGTGGCACTCAGGTACGAGAATACGGGGCTACGCGCTGACACGGGGGAATATAGAAATAAATATAACAGAAATACATATATACAGATATACAGAATACTTTTTAGTTTTAGTAAGAGTTTTACGGCACTTGCAACACAATAAGGTCATATAAGTGCCAAAGATTAGAGGTTTTAAAAGACAGTAACAAACACAAAAAAGAAGAAGTTTAGTTTTAGTTTTAGTAGAGGTTTTACGGCACTCGCAACTGCATAACGTCATATGAGCGCCAGAAGATTAGAGGTGTTACAAGAGAGTAACAAGCATAAAAAAGAAGAAGGGGAGATAAGAACGATAGACATCTGATAGGAAAGAAGAAGCAAACCATACCAGAGCACCCACCAACCACCCACAGAGATACAGAATACGGACGTGGGTTCGTTGTTGTTTTTTTTCTGGTATTGTTTAGTTGTTTAGTTAGTTTGGGTTTTTTTATAGAGTAAAGAGCTGAATGAAATACAGATGTGTTTTTTAAAGGGGGGAGGGGGGTTGTTCATTTTTTTGTATAGCTTTATTTTATTTACAAGGATCTATTGAAAGAGAGGCGAACACCTTAACCTCTAGGCTAAAGAGCTCCCCGATGAAAATCTACAAATTTGACCTCTGTGTCGATTTCTGGCCGATATCTCCATTCCTGAAGAGCAAAAAGAAACTCATTTATCAGCAAACCATACAAATGGCAGCTTGCACTGTATGCTTCCAGGAAGTTGAGATTGTTTCAGAACGCTATCCCGTCTGCCAGGCTTATAGGATAAATCATAAAGCGCTTAGAACTTACTGTTGACAAGGAGCTTGCTTTATAAAAATGCTACTTGTTTACTATTTTGTCCGTACACCTCACGTTAATCAATTCACTTTCATTCGGATTCTGTATTATAAATCAAACCACTTTCATTTCTGTAGTGTATTATAAATCAAACCACTTTCATTTTAATCGGGCATTATAAATCTAGTCACATTCGACTGTACACAGATCTAATGATGTCACCACTCACAGGTTCCCTCCAGTCGTTTTATGCCGCGGGACGTCTGCAGGTAGTAGCGTCGCACGATCACAAACATGATGCCCAGGGGCACTGTGGGAATGAACACGTACGGGTTGACCACGCCCGCCACCAGGACGATGCCCAGGATGAGCAGAGAACACTGAGGACAGGGGAGAGACGTGGGGAATTAAATAAATTTGTCACCACTCATCATCATCATCCATCATCATCATTAGCAGTGTATATTGTCAACAGTATAAGAAAAGACAAACATTTTTTTTTTTTAAACATATTTTTGTTATTCTGAAAAATGTAACTTAACCAGTTACTACAATATTAACACATCTTAATCATAACTTACAAATATTCAACACCAAATAAGGACACGTGACCAAACAAAACAAAATATACCACAACACAGTGGACTTGGGTGTTTGTCAATTTTTTTACGTCTTCCCTATCAAACAGCACCTATCATCCTTATCTCCCCTTCTTCTTTTCTCCACAATATGTTAATCTCTAAGTAACACCTCTTTTTTTTCCGCACTTATTTGACTTAATTTTGTTGTAAGTACAACTACACTTGGTGGGGTCCATTTAAACTTGACACAATCAATCTAAAAACAGCAGTAGACCGAAATAAAATACAGTTCTCTATTTTTTCCCCTTTATTTGAGTAACTTCTCTACATCGAAAGCCCGTCCAAGCAGAAGAAAATCTGGCAGTCCCATAGATTTCGGTTTATGCGGACTCCTATGCAGGTAGTAAAATAGAATGTGTCTTTATGTAAATGTGTTTATAGAGAGCTGTGACACCAGCTCCCAAAAGTGGGACATTGAAGTCAGCACAACACAGCACTCAGCTGGCGAGCGGCGTCAGAAGTAGAACGTACCTGGATAAAGTCGAAGAAGGTGACGGGGAGAAGATCGTCCATGTGGCCCACATCTTTGGAGAAGCGGTTCAGGATACGACCTGAGGGGGGGGGGGGGTAAACCATGTGCAACCAGGTTATATCACTCTACCACTCCACACCATCTGTATGTGTGCTACTGCTGTACTCTTTTTATGATGAAGGAGGGTGAGAGGAAGAAGGGAGAGGGGGAAGGGTAACGGGGGGAAGCGAAGCGAAGAGGTAGGGGGGAGGGGAGAGGAAAGAACCTGACTAAACATCTCTTCCTAAATTATCTAAACTGTGTTGAGGGGGGCCTATAAACACTTACAGTCAAAAACTTAATAATTGTTAAAATACACTTTAAATAAAAAAATTCAGAGAAAACAAACATTCCAGGAATTATTCAAAGCCGTCTGGCAAGCCAACACAAATATAATATACAATATTTCTTTTTTCAAACCAAGAATTTTGAGAAACTTAACATTCCCCAAATTTTTCCAAAACTTTGTGCAAGCCTATCCTACAGGATATACCGACGGGATAGTTGTCAAAGAAGGAGATAGGCGAGCGGAGAATCTGACCGGACATATCTTCCTAAATTGTGTCGATGAGGACATATAAACACCTACATTTAAAAATAAAGAAACTTTAAAAATATACTTTAAAAAATAAGAGAATTCTGAGAAACTTAATATTTATGGAATTTCCCAGAACTTTCTGGCACGCCAACAATATATATCATTTTTTAAAATTATCATAATTTTGAGAAACTTCACGATTCAGGAATTTTTCAAGAATTTGGCGACAAGCCTATCCTTCAGGACATACCGACAGGGTTGTTGTCGAAGAAGGAGATAGGCGAGCGGAGAATCCGAGCAAACATCTGGTTGTGAAGGGTCTGGGAGGCGTCGACCGCGATCTTGAAGAAAAGCAGCGCACGGACCAAGCCAAAGAGGAAGACTACGGCGATGATGGCGGAGAAGATGCCGATGTTGAAGGTGCTGTCCACGTAAGGGATGGTGATGTTGCTGCTGAGGCTGGTGTTGGCCAGGTCTGTGATGTTGTTGTCGGCCAGGAAATGCTCGTGCGCTTTAATGGCCGCGTAGCGGTCCTCTTCTAGGTTAGACCTGGTCGGGGTGAGGGGATATG